GCTCAAAAGGACGTACAGTGTTGAACGGAACTGTTTGATCGATTCTCAATGTTTGTAGATTCGACTATTCAAGCAGACAAGAGAATCTTGAGTGAAAATTATTATTCTTTGCAAAGAGAAATAATTGTCTTCTTTTTATTCTCATCTCACAATGCACCGTAAACTTCATTTTAGTCATTATCTTTTATCTCTCCTTTTGAGATATTATATGACGAAAAACTGTCGGGGTACATCCTGTTACTTGTAATCTTTTCAATTACGTACGAATTCCTTGCGTTTACGAATTATGATGAGAATGAAAAAATGTACGTGGGCACAAGCGTAACGTGCGCGAGCGCCGAGGCGTTGAGGCGCTGATCGGTACATCGGTGCCACCATAGCGGCTGCCAGGGTTCTCAATTTGATGGACGAGCTGTTCACATGTACAGCCCGTGCACTAGCCTGACTTTATATACTGACAACAACCGTACGCTACCTCATCATTTTGGAGATTTCATGCCGTAGAAATTATTGTTAGCAGTCAGTATTAATTCTCGTATATTGCCATCAGTGTCTGTTTCGATTCATTAATTAAGCCAGGCTTCTAATATGGGAAACATGCGTGAACATTATCGTAGGAATCTGTTATACAGTTATCTAACTATGTTCATTAAGTCTTGTGCATCTCTTTAGAATTTGTGTACATCAGCAAGTATGTTTATTAAATGAAAATTACATCTACAAATAAGAGCAAAAAGTATTCGTACAAGGAAATTTGTTATAAAAAAATCTTATTTGTAAAAAATAAACATTAATTTGCAATTTTATACAATGAATACATTCTGTTTTGGAATAAACAAACGAGCTTCGCATGATTCCTGATTTTAGAAGCTAAATTTCTGTACGAATACTTTTCGAGCATTCAAACAATACAATTTTTAATTTTCGCTTTTTTCCAGATGATATATTTTGTAAAATTAATACGTACTTTTTATATACGTAATTATATATACCTTTTTGGTATATATAATTTTAAGAAATATATAGGCTATTTTATGAATAAATTGTTAATTATTCAGTAAGAAATAATCGTCAATTAAATGTCAAATCAACGTTAAATTGATATTGAAATCATCGTATTTATATCGATTCGACATCAATTTGATGACTTATTTCTCGCTGGATAATATTTACTTTTTAAAAATAAAGTTTTTTTTAAAAATATTTTCTCTATACAAATATTTTTTGCACTCACTGCATATAATTTTTTTCATATTTTTATAATATTTTGCCTTCAAGGATTTAGTTAAAATTAGAAATATTTCCTTTTTAAATTATTCAATTACAGATATTTAACTATTAGCAAATCAGAGATGTAGCATTGACGAAATGTGTATATAGACTAAAATTGTATAAGTAAATATGTATAATATACATTGATATGGCCGAAATAAATGGGTACTTTGTATCAGTGCGCGCTTTGAAGAATGTGTTTAGTTGCTCGGCGATCGGAACGAGTGTACCGCCAGACAAAGGCTATGCCTAGCCATAGCCGCGAGGAAAGATGGATACATGGTAAAATAATTGATTCGAAAACGTTCTTGCATACGGTTTTTGCCTGACGGTTTATGGATAAAACTATTATACAGCTAGATAGGTAGATTCCCCTAAGTACCCAGATTTGTTAAAAAAAATCAAAATTTATTTTGATGTAATCTTTTTAAATCGTATCAGCGATTATTTAACAAATGAAACTTTAATATAGCTTTTTAGTTTACACACATTAGTTGAAAATTTATATGTTTGTTGTTTTATCCGCAAAATATGCGTTTGTGATCAGTTCGTACAACTTCATCAGTAAATTTTTTAAACAGTTAAAAAAACAGTTCTTCTTAATTTTTTTCAAATTATTATTTACTTTATTGATTTATCTTTCATATTATTGTCACATTATTATCGAAGAATCACTGATGTAGTCCTTCAACTTATAAAACATGTTGAGAAATCGAATTACTATACTGACAACCGCACGAAAAATATTTTCGGGACACGTTTCACCTGCGTTTCTTCTTTATTTTTCTTTCGTCTCACGTATCAATGTATCTGCGAAGTATAGGCTTGATGCGTCGGTATTTAATTAATACGCAATGACATAATCGAGTCTGTTGATACTGCCAAATAGTCTTCCACGTCCATAACTCACACAGCACTTTTTGTACCGACAAACTTGCTCACCGTTCTTCCCGTCTGCCTCGATGGGCAGCCATTACGAACAGCACCTGCCACTCTAGCTGCGACCTGACCACAATGTACTACTATCCCCATCATTGGGGGAACATTCTTGTCAGTGTCCAGCGATCTTGCCGACGCAATTTAACGAATCTTAAGAGATTAAATCTGCGTATATAACAAGAAAATTGATATTAAACCTAATTTTGTTTTATTTTTATGCTATTATCACATGTATGCTGCCATTCTTTCTATTTATAAATGATTGTTTATATATATCTTTATTATTATGTTGGAATACATTTTTATTTTTATTTTGGAATATTACATAAAAGTATCGCGTATATTTATCGTTTCGTTTATTGCGGCAATTAATTTTCATCAAGGAGTGTATGAATTTATATTTGTAATTTATTATTTACAAAAAGCTTTTTTTATACAACATTAGATAATTTGTCATTTTTCTATATATGTTATTGTAGTAAACAATGATTAAATTCGTCATGTGAAAATTTTATGATTTGTTTTTAGATACTGATATTAAAAGAAATATTTATACAAGAAGAAAATAACACACGACAATAGATTCTTTTCCGACATATTTCATTAAGAATTATGTCGGAAACCCAAACTGAAGACATACATTAAGGTCAAGTAGTAGGCAAATAAAGAGATTTTAAAATTAAGAAGTTTTTGCTTGACGCCTAAGCAATTCTTCTGAAAGAACGGAAGGTTGCAGACAGGTAAATTATGTCCGACCTATCTTTCCATTTGTGTGTCTTCGATCTTCAATAGTGCAGTAGATGCCTAAATTTCGAGCAGTCAATTTTTGTATTGTGACTATTGGAATATCTAAAATGATTATTTAATTATAGCGATAATAGCAAATTAGAATTGATAAAAGTTTCATTAAAAAATAAATGATAAATACAAGCACTAGGAATTTACCCGATTGATAAGAGAAATCTAGTTGAGACTCAATCGTGTCAGTGAAACCATGAATGAACAATCTGTGAAACTGAGATTCTAATCTGAAAGTGCTTTTTGCTAATGAAAATGTACGATACACGAACATTTGTAGTGAAATTATGTATTCGTCACGTGCGCCTATTTTATCAGTATGCGTAGAGAGCGTTAGAAACAGAAAGAGAGAGACAGTCAGTCGGCAACATTGTGCAGCGATTAAGCGTTCGAGTGGAGCATTATGTAACTCAGCGACGTCACGTTGCTCAACTGCCATGCATATACCCGCGCATATGCACACATATATAATACGCACACTCGTGTAAAAGTTATGACGTATTGCCTCCGCGACATATTTATTAAGCACTACGAAGATATTAGACTGGTGCGAACCGACGTTATATGCTCAAGTATGGACAAGCATTTGTTGTGCACCATTAGCTTCGATAATTTACAGCTACTGTTACTGTCTAGAGCTGCCCTCCTTACGCCTCCACATTTTTTAAATCTCGTTTCTGCCTTTTGTCCTGTCTGGGGCATGATATCTAGCTCGCGAGATATCCTTTAAGATTATAATAAACGGTGCTTTATGATTATTTTTATCGCAGTAAATTGCACGTACGTATGATTCATGTTATTTTTACTGTTGAGAGAGACGTAACACATGTGTATTTCCATGCGTTTTGTAACAGTTGTTTAATGAAACGCAATTCTTCCGGAATTAGAAACACAGATGAAATAATCTCGATGGAAATTAAACCGTGCAAGTATTCCCGATGATATAATAGTTAATCGTAAAACTATGAACTGTTCGTTAGAAATGGCGATATAGCAGCCACACATACGACAGAATTTTTATTTTATGAAGCAGGTTTTCACTAGGAATGCACGCACACACTCGTTTATTTGATTTATAGGCCAGCTAAAAGTGGTTTTGCCATCCGAGTGTATGTTATATATTTCAATAAATTCTATGCTTGGAGCAATTATATCTTTAGAAAACTATCTTTATACTTTCTTCCGATATGCAGAAAATTTAGACATTTTCAAATAGAAGTATTGAAAAAACAAATGAATGGAAGTTTTTTTATTGTGTAAATAAAATTTATTTTAAAAATTGAATTTTCCTCTTCAGTATTTGTCGCTAAATTAACTACTGTGAAACATTACTTTAAGAAAAAATGAATAGAGATGAATAAATTACGACGTATAAAACATATACACATAATGCAAAACATTTACAATAATAATAGAAGTAGCAAGATTTATTTATTTTTTTTTTTTTGTACTTGTTCCAAACCTAAAGCATAAAAATTTTTTCTGTAAATAGCGTAGTAATAACCCAGGAATTTACGTCAGATCTTAGATAGTACTATAATTCACCTTAGTCGGCAATAAAATTGGCGGGTCGGGCACGTTCGTCCTTCAAATTGTCGTTTTACACGACAAGAAGAGTAGCACAGGTACAAAACTAATACTACCAAAGCACATTGGTATCTATGGTTTCCCTGACGACTAAACACCGTTTCCACGACGACGGTGGATAGGAACCGTTAGGTTTTTTTACGAAAAAAGTCATAAAATAAGCGGTCAAAGCCGACGACAATGAAATATAACTTTTACTTTCCGTCTTCTTTTGGGGTACCTTTTAGATTCACCCGAATCTCTATCCGACCTGTCTACGAACCCGCCAGTTCAACTCAATCCGTCGTCGATGCCTCATCGATAGCTGCCTCTAACGGAGAAGTGTGTCGAGAATTTGATCTATCTCAGCATTTTTCAATAGATTATATCAACGGGTTATGTCTGTGTTTACGTGATAAAAAAACAGTCGAGAGTGTACATCAAGAATGTCGTGTGTCAATATTATATGTACTTTGAAGAAAGTGAAGTTATACAATCGTTTTTTTTTTTTTTATTTTTTGTTAGTGCAAACGAGTATTTTATTTCGCAAACCAATTCTAGCTGTACGATTTCGCCGTGACACTTTACTTCATCAGGATATCTGTCCAAATGCTGAAAAATAATGTCTATAATTCTGTACATGCTATTTGATTAATAGATAGGGAAAAAGGTAACCTTTCGTATGTTTACACAGATATCTGTCGCGTAAGCAAGGTTGATTGAACGCGAACCGAGCCGCACCATGATCTTGGACAGTACCGACGCGAATGCATTGCGCTCCGCCTACGAAGATTTACGACGCAACCCGGCATGTGAGTGCAGTGAGTTAGAATCGCGCCAGTCAGCACATGCGCGCGCGAGAGAAGTGAGCCGCAGAAAAACGGGTTTAAATGCGATTCGAATCGAAGTGGAGCCGTGCGCGGAGAGCGGCGCTCCCCGGTGATAATCAGTATCGTTCATCGGCTTTGTTCGGCATACACGAATTCTCACTCCCCCAAAGCCCGCGAGCGTCGCGGATCGTGCCTTACGTAACTGGGGTGGGTGGTCTGCGGCTCGGAAACACCTCTTTCCAGCTCCCACCACCGCGAACCTGCGGCATAATCGGTGCCCAGTAGAGTATCCTTACGGCCTCGCGATGTATCTTCCAAGTAGCAATTTTCTCTTTTCGTACTTATCTCCGTTTGATAAAAATTAAAAACGTGGTCGCGAAAGCGCACGATAAAATCACCCCCACAGGGTTTAACGTGCCGCGCCACACAGTACTCGGCTTTTTTTTTTTTTTTTTTTGCCTTCTCGCTTTTGTAAACAGTCTCAGTGGTAGTACTCCATCGCGTATATTGTATATATTTCCGTACAACATTTCAATTTGTTCCCTTAAATCAAACGCACCTATGAGTTTGCCGACGTTGCGTTTCGCGAGCAATACAGCACTTGTTTTGGGGTATTTTTTTTTTTTTTTAATAGTCGCACGGACATGACGGAGTGGAGATCAATGATAATCTCGGGGCAATAGCTCTTTTCGAATATCCCGGATCAACTAGTAGGATGCGTACGTTCGACACGTACACGTGTTAGAAAGATTTTTTTTTTCTTTTTTTTTTTTTCCGTGACCCATTTCCCGTTTTTCGCACGAAAATTCCCCATCGCATCCTGTATAATTTTCCGCATCGGGGGGTATATCGATGTAGCCGAACGATATTGGAACGTATATACGCGCATATAACATGCGGTTACCGTGTTGCCCTATGCCGCATCATCGTGCATCGAAATTGGTATTCAGACTGTCGATCGCTCATTACTTACTCTCCGTAACTAAAATTACATCTCTCACGTTTTCTCTCTCCCCTAGCCGTTCGCGGTGGCGTTTACGTGTGCACGCGAGGGCGCGCGCCCATGCATACCGGGCGTTTTCCTGACACGCATGTACCTCGGATCCAACCATTTCGACTATCCTATCGACGCTGTTAATAACAAGATCGCGAACTGGTGCTCGGCGCATGATTCGATTCTTTCCTTTACCTCGAGGAAATATCCGGTCAAATCATACCGTCGAAAATCTTCTCGCGGATACCGAGACTGAATGCAGAGCTAAACGGCAATTTAACCGGCGAAACTTGAAATTTGCTACTTTCGTAAATACTGCCTCGAGTAAAATATATGTGTCGGGCGCAAATTCGTGAATCCTCCTTGTTCTCGCTCCGAACAGATTTCCTTTCGTAAAATATATTTCGACTAAGCCAATCGCTTTTTGTTCTGTCTCTCGACGTTTTTTTTTTCTCTCTCTCTCTCTTCCTTTACGCAACTCTTCTCTGATCATCTGCGTATTATTATCCGTTTTTGCGTCAGAGTCGTAGGCTCGTAATTCCCTTGGGCGCCATCTTCTTCTTTCTCCATTACATTTTCGCATCGTCGTTTCCCTTTCGGTCACAAAGTACGCTACTATAGACTTTCTTATATCTTATTCGTTTTTTACGCCACTCTGTTTTGCTGTCCCTACGCCCATCCTCTCTCGTGCACTTCTCTCCACACTCATTATTTTCTCGTCTACGTTTTGCTTTTGTATCCGTCAATTCCATATTTTCTTTTTCTCGCGGCACAGCCAATCCTTCTCTTCTACATCGTGTTTTCGCGTCTCCATTCTTCCTTTTACCAACCTCGGTTCATCTTCCTCCCATCGCCATTTTTTATTTCGTTTTCTCTACCGCGCGCCAAGCTTCTCTCTACCTACCGCGCGTATCTGTATGAGAGAATCGAATCTTGGATGCTACGGAAAACACAATGAGAGAGAGAGCAAGCGAGGTGGCGGAATGTAAACCAGTTATGCCGTGTACACCCTTTGGTTAAACTAAAACTGAGTGGTTTTATGGCGCCGATCTGTCTTGCCGTGTTATAACGAGTTCGTGACTCGACATAATATGATAACCCCACCCCAAATGCGTCGGACTCTCGCACAGAATCGCGGGAGCGCACTAGAAGAGGCAGTAGAGACTGTGGTAATAAAGAGTGCGTGGCGGAAGAAACGACAAACCGCCGACAGTGACTCTTCCTCATAGTAGGTATAGAGAAACAGCGATCGTGTTCACTCGCCGTTCAACAGCCATTGTTTAATCTCGGAATGATTTGATCGGATAAATTTCTATATAATTTCTCTATCTATGAATTTAGTAAATTTAAAGGGTTTTTTTATTCCTGACACATCCAGTGAATTTTATGCTGGGTAACGACGATCATTTAAATTGAAGGCGATTATAAATTAACAGCTAATGATAAGTATCTTAACATATTACATTCGTGCAAGGTTGCGGAAATTACTACAAGAAATGGGAGGATGAGGGATGTGGGTAATAAGGAATGTATAACGGAAGAGGGCAAATCGCCAACAGTGGCTCTTCTTCGATACAACCAGTTAAGATTCGACAAGAATATTCTTCATGAATCTGTATCCGTAACTGCATCTCTTATCGCTTATCGTGAAATTAGCATTGTACTGTAATAACTTTATCTCAATTAATTGACATGTTATACATTCATAATTGAATTTTCTTTCAAAGTCAATACTGATTGAAATTGTCGCAAGTCTTGTTATCATATTTAATATCTTGGTTTGGGTATATAATTATATACTTGCATTAAATTTATGTATGCAATTATTTTTCCTCGAAGAAAGAGAAATGATTGTTTTACTTATTATATTGCTTATTATATTATTAATGAATTCTATATAAGAGATCGAGAAATTTATGTGTGCGTACTAAAATTAATAATTGTTAAAAAGTTTAGATTTATGATAAAATATTTAGACATGATGAAATGAGTACCAATACTCCATGAAATTATTGAATTTTTTTATTAATAACCAAGTCTTGTCGACTTGGATCTTCTCCGCGTCTTGTCCAATCCTGCAAGAACATGCAGTATAATCCTCTCAAAACGTGAGACTGTCTAGACAACATTCTGATGACAATAATGACGATCATTATGGTAACAACACCAATTATAATAACATATTATTTCACGGAAAATAATTTCTGTTCAAGAGATGGCTTCGATAAATGCTCTCGAACTTTGTCAATGATAATGATATAAAATATTATAATATATCTTATCTTCTATCAAAAAATCTCATCTTATAATAATAATTTTGTATATGTATTTATATATCAATTATTGCTCAAGATCAGCATATTTTGTTTATTTAATTATAAGAATTGTATCTGTTCACATTTCATAAATGTTAAGATATCCTTTTGTATATTCTTCCTATATATTTCATAAAATCTACATTACGTGAAGTCTACCGAATTCTAGCAATAAAATAAAAGTGCATTATCATTAATAAGTACAAAGTAATTTTATTTATACATAGAACAAATGAAAGATCAACGCCGAATTTCCGATTATTATTGTATAATTGCTGCAACCACTTGTAACGAAGTACAAGTGTACAGCAAAAGGAATATGCATACGAAGGTGTTCTCACAATCAGTAACTCAGTGAACGAAGGCGCGTGCGCGCTTTACAGCCGGCATACCAAAGAACACGGGCATAAACATTGTTACTGGATACGCACGAGGGACAAAGAGGCACGTGGTGGCGGCACAGAAAGGGACGGGAATTAAGATGGACGGTGCCAATCGTATGCTAATAGAGCGGTCTTTTATTTTCTCCCTTTACTAGTTTGGGGAAGTAACCCGCGGACGTTCAGTCGCGCGCCGAAGCGGTCGAAGCGCAGTCTATATCGAGTAAAGTATCGTACGAACGTACCGGGTTTTTTTTCTGAAGAAAGAAAGAAATGTAGTATCTATATGTGGATCACGATGAAATCTTGAGTGTAAAAATAAGTGTTCCGATGTGCGTGCGTTTTTTTTTTTTTTGCGAAAAAATAATGCCCCTATAATATTCGCATGTAATATTTAATATAGCAATGTACATTGTCACCACAATCTTATTTCATAATGTAATAATTGATGTCAATGTATTGATGTAAATTGAAATTGAAGTTTGATTCTATTTAATTTCCAAAAATAGATTGTTAATTTAAATTTGAATTTATTTATTCATTTACAAAATATTCAAGTTTAAATGTAAAAACAGGTAAATTTATTATATCTTTGTAGAGACGTATTTTTTTGTTTTATGAAATTAAACGGAATACTTTGTATCAAACGTAGCATTATCGTATTACACCGAGTCACGAGTCTTATTTTTTTGCTCCTTTGGCGAGATACATTATTGCAGTTATATCATTGCGAAGCGTTTTCAGGATAGAATGACAAGCAACAAGTTTCTTCCTCTCCAAGATCAATATCTATATTTCTTAGCTTT